CATGGGTTTTGTAACCGTTCATTCTGACTGGAGGACTGTTGTGTGCAAATTAAATTTGTATTAAGTTAGATTACAAGGTTACAAACAAAGGGATCCGGCAGATAGGCAGCTCTTACACGCGGAAGGGACATAGTTCAAGTTTTGCTATGTTGACAGGAAGGAACCTCTGGTAATTTCCTAGAATTCTGGCAGTTTCAGCAAAGTCAGAAAGGCTTTGAGAAAATGAGAGCTGACAGCTTGGGACAGCGATAACTTAGAAGTGGGACGGCCGGAGCCTCACACCCTGACCGTAATGCATCAAGGGGCTGTCGACCGTAGCGTCAGGTCAGCATCTGCCAGAATCACATAGCAGAGCAACATGATTGGGAATTCAAAATTTAGGGAACCTCCTAGTTTGAAAACTTAACCAATGGCAGAAGTGGAGGAGTGGATTTCTCTTGGAGTCTGGGGTTCGTGGACCTGAGGATTCAGAGAGAGGGCATTCCACCTTGAGAAGTCTTGCCACAACTTTCGGCACAGACGGACACTAATTTTACAACTACGGCCCTTCCGTAAAGTAGTATAAGTAAAGTCCAAATTAAATGTATTAATAAATTCAGTGTATTCAGAAAGCTGGAAGGGATTAAATTACCATTAAGTGCAACGGTCTAAAGTGTGTGTGTGTGATTGAAGCAGAAAGGTGCTTCCTGCCCTGCCCGAGCCAAACCCTTATAAGACCCGGGATAGGAACTCAGTTCTACTGATTACTGAACAGAAAACAGCTGCTCCCGTCTTTACCTGCTCTCGCGTAATATCTCCAGCAACCACAATTCTTCTCCCTTTCCATCTAACTTCTCGACATCTACGAGAAAAGGGAGGACGCTGATAAGTGGAGCACAAAGTAGGATCAAGGAGGACGGCAACAGCGTGGCGCACAACGTAAAAGGGCCCAAGGAAGTGAGCGGTTATAGTTTATATCACGGGAACTATAACAGTCTCACTGAATCACACACTTGAAATATTACACATAAATAATGTCTTCTAATCACACATTAAATCTTCACAGGCCGACTTCTAGTTCTTCTTCAACTACGAACTCCTTGCTGCGCTTGCTTGTTCGCGTGTTTCTGCCGCTGTTATTCAGTCGTAAGTGTCTTGAGCGAATTCTGTCAATTATATAGCCGAGGAACGGACACGCATCACAGGAAACACATGTCACGTGACCACCACTTACCGCTGTGTGACGTCACCGCGGACATGTAATACGAAGCCTACTGTAACGTTGCTTGCGCATATTTCGGACATGGCCTAGAGATGTTGTGTGTTGGAACATGTTTACAGTACTGTGGTCTGGCAGTGGGTATTCACATTACAGTGTATTATGGCACCTGAGCTCGTTTCAACGTCGTACTTCATAAATTCCTCCTCTCAGTAACATCAGCGTTATGGCCTCTAAATTTTCTGAGCAGGTTTCAGGGTGGAGCAATGTGATATGATGTCTGGCAATCGGAATAATGAAGAAAAAAAGAGGTGAACTTTGCTTGGTAATGGCTCGGTAATAACGTTCTTGAGGCAATGAATGCAGGCAACAATAGCAAAACTGTTGGACGCGGTGTTTTCTGTCCGATCCATGCCGAAGGCAACCATAAATTTGTGATAACAGGAAAATAGGCGATGAGATCTTCACAGATCTTGTTACAATTATACAGATTTTAGTTGGCAAGCGTGACATGTTATACGAAAGATACAGTGTATGTTGGAAGAAATTTAGGAATATTGAAGTCATTTTCTTCGACAAAAAAAAAAACTGGACCTGGAATTTTTGTGAGGTTCTGTTATTAGATCATTTTGTTCTCATGTTGTGTGAAACATCGAATTGCAATAAGTGTCGCGCACTCACTCACGGATCAGTGGATGCCAGAGTCGACACTGATGTCCTATTGGGGCGTTGGAATGGTAACGGTTGGTATTCAAGTGCTACAAACTGCTGTACTTACAATGTTGCTGGGATCGTGGCTGACTTGCGCCCCGAACCAAGTTTTAAAATGACTCCAGGATATGAGGAACTCTATATGTGCTTTCAGTTGCGTATCTAGAGCCATTTATTTCTGCAAGGGGGCGAGGTGGTGGAACTGAAACTCGTCGAAATAATATTTTGAAATCTGCTTACGTGATATAAAACCCACTGCTTTGCGATCACAAAGGTAAATCCGGTTAGTGATTTAATGAAATAATAGCTAAAGTTATCACCGGGAAGACCTAGACGTAGATGGTAGAATAATATAACAAGATGTTCTGGGTAGAATTCAATCCAGTCTAGTAAATTGGCGCTGGCCCTCGCCTTCACAATCATTTTTGGTTTCGGGACCCATTACGATGTTTTTTTTTCAGCCTTTTAAGCGTTTTGAAAATGGGATGTATTCTTCGACGAGAATCAGAGTCAAAATTACTTTGTGACTTGTGGATTACCGCCAGTCATTTGGACTTGAGGACTCACGAGTAGGAATTTAATTTTCAACTGAACATTTGCTGTCGTAATCCTTATGTAACATCCTCTCTGACATGAGGAGCTCGCCAGCGCAGTCATTCTCAGGTCCAAGTCCCGCGAGACTCTTGACCACATTTCGTTGCTTCAGATTCGAAACTCCCTCAGTTTGTAGGGCCAGGTCGCAGTATATATATATATATCCCAGAGGAACAGGGTGGCGCAGTTATAACCGCAGGCACTGGGTTCACTTCTCGTCGCCTACTGCTCGCAGGTTTACGGTGGAGGTATTCGACCTGCCTCCCAAGTTCTGGAAGAACTTATCGAATACTTTACTTGATACTACATGGACGGCATAGAAGATGACGCATCAAAGATTTCTGCTATTATTGCGTATGTTTGTTGCCGCGGTAACGTTTTAACCTAGCCGTTGCCTATCAACGATAGGGAGCTATGCGTGCTGATACAAAGAGTGACGGGAGGGATTCAAGAAGGACGTCGTTGAGAAGGGGCCCAGGTTCAATGGTATGCATACCAAGATAGTTTGGGGCATTCAGAAGTTGATGGGGGCGATACACAAACACACAGATATCATGGTGAGTTCGAGTCCCGGTGGGGGAAAATATTTTCACTTCTCCATGTCGTCCAGACTGGCTGTTGGGCCGACCCACAAACTATCCAACGAGTTACGTGAGATCCTATCCCCGGGGTTACAGCGGCTGGGTCGTGAAGCTGACCACTCACATTCATCAATTGCCTAGGTCAAGAAAATTTGTGTCTATACATCAATTCCCCCATACATCTTCAATGTGTAGCGCTGAATTAGTTAAGCACAGGTGCAACCTTTCTTTACCTGTCCTCTTTTCTTACGCCGACTTAGCCGCCACCATGTTATGACAGGATCAGTATAGCTAGGTATCCACTAGCGCGGATATCGAATCCCATGAAGTGGTCGCATTATTCGAATTCCAACTATTCGAAGTTATATGTAAAATATGGATATTGTTCTAACGTGTCGGAAATAGGTAATGAAAACTATATAAACATAAGTTTTTATATCTTTATTGAAGAAAGATCACAATTAAGGATAAAAGTAATATAAATATTACATTAAAGGATAAAATTAATACAATTTAATGTAGTCACAGAGTAGTTGTAGAGGGTAAAATAAAAGAAATAGATGTTTGGAGCTACAGAATTACAAGCGAGGAACTTGCAACAGGCATCAGATATGCAATCGAAAATATTCCCTACTACTACAGCAACTAGCAGTGTCCCATTGTGCAATCGAAACAACTCAGCGAATTTGTATGCTTCGATCGAGGTACGTTTTAGCATTCTTGATTGCTTAATGACTTGTACAGCTCGAAAGAAAGCTTCGAATTCTATGAGAGTGACCTCAGTGAATTTGTATGCTTCGATCGAGGTAGGTTTCAGCATTCGTGATTGCTTCACGACTTGCACGGCTCGATAGATAGCTTCAAATTCTATGAGAGTGACCTCCGTGAATTTGTATGCTTCCATCGAGGTAGGTTTCAGCATTCGTGATTGCTTCACGACTTGTACAGCTCGAAAGATAGCTTCAAATTCTATGAGAGTGACCTCAGCGAATTTGTATGCTTCCATCGAGGTAGGTTTAAGCATTGCGATTGCTTCACGATTTGTACAGCTCGAATGATAGCTTCAAATTCTATGACAGTGACCTCCTTCAGTTGCAAGTTATCTCTTTCTTCGGCATCATTGTAGGCCTTGTCAAATTTTGTTTCTTGATCGAAAAAGGAGGAGATTTTCATCTGTCAGTTTTCCGAATGTGACAATCGTCACTTTCTAGTCCATGAAATCCAAGTTCTCTTCGAAGATTTGTAATTTATATTTGCACACTGGGGCAATTCTGTCTGCTCTTATTTGCTGCCAAGTATGGTTAATATTTAGTTTTTCATGTCTGATGTCTGTTGCACATTCCTCGCTTGTATTTGGACCGTGTTACATGTCACCGCTCCAGTCACCCCCTTATGGCCTTATCCTCCCTGTGTTGACCTTGGCCTTCACATTACTGTAGTCCAGCTTCCGGTTTACTATCTTCACTTTTCCCCCACTAGGTTTGTGGCTGATATTGATGAAACTTTTCACCTTGGACTGCACCACGGTTGGGGCTGACTCCACAGGCATCCTGCTCTTTCCCCCACTAGTGTTGTTCCTGATATTGGCGAAACTCTTCACCTTGGACTGCAGAACGGTTGTGGCTGACTTCACAGGAATTCTGCTCTTTCCCCCACTAAGATTGTAGCTGATATTGTTGAAACTTTGTTCCTTGTTCTGCACTGGATAGATTGTGGGACGCATTACAGAAACTCTGTTCTTGGTTATTGGAAGTTCTGTAAGAGACCAAAGCCCTTGTAAGAGAATTAACTTTTTTTTTATATCCATGTATCACTGCCTTCCTCTGTTATTCTGTTTAAATGGATGCTTTGGTACGAGCTGAACCCTCATCATGTGGATAATATCATACAAAATGTACCCCGTTGTCAACCCTTGCAAACACAAGTCAAGAGGACAAGAGTTTCTCTTTCTCACATCGTCCAACCGGTTCTTGCGCCCTCCCAACCTCCTATTCAATTTTTACGGCAATTGATTTCCGCGGGTGTTTGCGGCCGGGGCGTAAAGCTAAAGGTCTAAAGAATATCGCAGCTGTATCTCCACTCCCCCATATGTCTTCATGACGTTCACTTTTTTTTTAAAAAACTCAAGAGAAAGGAAGCAGTTTTTTCTGAATTTATGAATTCTATGGCATTCAGACATAGAGAAAAGAAAACTTAATTTTTATCATTATTTTGTCTCCTTTTTTCCCTGAATTTCATTGTCTTCTTGTCTTCTTCTTTGCTACCTTCTCTAAGTTCGTTACGCGTATTTTCCTAATTTCCGTCTTATTATTATTATTATTATTATTATTAACAAAAGTCTACTACAATTTTTAACAATGTATGCTCTGTCAAGTTTAAAATTTTAAGGTTAACGAAAACATGACTAAATGAATCCTTTTCCAACCAAAAACGTTTCCCCGAAATTCATACTGTATATCGTATTGATCGAGCTTCTCGAACCTAATCACGTGCCGGAGGAGCTTCAGTTGCTGTTTCTGAAGCAGTTTCTGGCGCCAAACTTAGATCCGAACTTGAATATTTTCGTGAATATATATGGGTAGAAATTACTGTACTTGGTGGCCCAAACTTGTTTATTGACCGTCATTGATTGGCTCCTGATGTCGAATTTAATATTATCAGACATTACTTCAAGTTTTTAGAGAACTGATTAGGTATCTTAAATACCCCTTTGTATCGTTTGGAATTTACTCCTATGATCCACTTTCCGCAAATTATCACTACTACACAAAACTGAAAGGGAGTTTGATTCGTTCCACCGCTTCTTTCCTCGGTTTAAACCAACATAATTATCGTGCCAACGGCTGCAAATTTCTTGACCTTACGTCTACAAATCCTGTTCATCTCTAAATATTTCTCTAAAGATGTTACAAGAGATATTCATCTTGGGATTATGCAGTGATTTATAATGACTTGTCTAGTTATGACTGGTCTTCACTGTACAACGAAATATCTGTTGATGCTGCCGTTGCCAGATCAAATGTTGCTGTAACCCTAGCCATAGATTTACCTGTTCCTTCTAGATACCTTAAAAAACATAAATAACCTGCCTTGATTTCTGGAAAGTTAAGAGCTTACATTAAGAAAGAGAATTAAGTCCGTAAATGTTACAAGAAATGTAAGTCTCTCTCTTTTTAGACACACTTACTCTTTACAGCAAATTAGTTGAAAGAACTGTATAGGCTCAGAGATATTTCATTGGCAAAAATCGGTGGAAGAAAATCTAAAATCTCACAGTAAGCGGTTATGGAAATATGTATCACGATTTGGAAAAGTTACTGATTCAGTGTACCCTTAAATCAGTTACATTCTTATAACTAATCCTCGTGGTATTTCCCCCAAACTGTAATGCTAACACGGATATCTTGATAAGCTAAAGAATTTCGCTCTGTTGCCCAAATTTACTGAATTTTAAGATAATGGAATGTGTGATTTTAAAGTTCATTAGCAGTGCAGAGCTGTGCAATCTACTCACCGATAAATTCCTCTGTTCCTGCTTTCATGGCAGCCTTTTTCTTGTCATCGACACTCTTCGCGAATTCTATATAGCGTTCCACCGCTTCGCAAGGCCCCTTGTAATAATACTGGATGAAAAGACACACAGTTAGATTTACCACAGTTTTGTAGATAAACGGAATTCAAGTGTAGTTGACGTGCGGCCTTTCAGAGGAGCTGAGTGTGGTACCGATCACTGTGTCGTTGTTGCAGAAGTTAGGGAGAGACTGGCAATAAGTAATCGAGCAAGGAAAAGTTTCATGCGGAGACGTAAAATCGCAATAAGCTAAACGAGGTATGAAGTAAGTAACACTGTGAGGTTAGAATCTGAAAGAGATTCGCAAGCTGGGAAACTATTAGGGAGAATATGACAATTTCAGCCAAGAGAATCTAAGTTATTACGAATTGATGCAGTATAAGCTATGGTTTGACGAAGGCTGTTAAAACTAACAGACACCGGAAAGAAGCCAAATTGGAACTTTTACGCTATCCGAGCCAAATAAATTGAGATAATCTGAACAATGTTAAGACGCAATGCTAATGGACATTACTGGAACCAACCATTGAATAGCTGAAAGACAAACTTAATGAGCTCTCAGTACATCAAACACTGATAAGATTTTTTCATTCATCAGATACTGGAGGAATAAATTGGGAGTACAATGAGACAGTACATCAGCTATTCGTAGACTTCAAGAAAGCCTACGTTTCAGTTAGGAGGAAGTATTGTACAACATTCTTATTGAATTAGGGGTACATATGAAACTATTTAAACTTACTAAAATGTGTTTAAGCGAATACTATAATGAAATCCATATAGGCCTACGTAAACATTTATGTGATGCGTTTCGTATTCATACTTTCCTGAAACACGGAAATGTTTTATGTTCATGCTTATCAACTTTGGTTTGTAATACGTCATTAGGAAAGAACTCGGAACCCAGATGATCCATAGTGATGATATAAATCTATTGGGAATAACATAAATACTATCAGGTTTATGTGACTATGGACGGGTCTTGAATTGGTAATCGGATTTATTGCACAATTGCGCCTCTGAATTAGAAATAACTATGATGCTATAGAAATCACCATATTCCATAATATCTTCTCAGCTTGTTCCCCTTTTCACTGGTAGTTGCCTTGTTCTGTCTACTAACAAGGGTTGTTATTCATTCTCTTACGTTCTAGAACTGCACTCCTAACCGTCTACACTAGACCGTTCTGTTATCCCCATAGCTTTCTAGTTCTTGGCCAAGACCTCCTTTCTCCGGTCTGTCGGTTGGTTGGTCGGTAGGTCGGTTAAATTTACTGCTGTGCTTCGCCAGCACAGTCATTCATTACCAGAAGTTCTGTTTTTTCCCCAGATATTTACGTATATAAAAAGGTGCTCGCCTCTTCGACGAGGGAGAGATCGGTCTTTTTATTTAGGAACTTCGTTTGTTGCACCGCAAGTTCAGAACGAGTATATCCGCGCTGTCACGGCGTCCAGGTCACAGTGTGTAGGCGCTACGTTTGTTGCACCGAAGTTTCAGGACGAGTATATCCGCTCTGTCACGGCGGCCAGGTCACAGTGTGTAGGCGCTACGTTTGAAATTGGCAGGTAAAAATATGCTTTTCAACTTAGAAGTTACTGATTATTCATTCATCAGTAATCTGTCGGACATTAGGTCCACAGTCTCTTCCAAAACAGTTCCTCCACTTAATGCTATCTAGAGCTTTCTCCTTCAAGTAAGAATATCCTCTTCTATCCCCAAGGTTATCCAGCATCTTCTTACGTCTTCTGATTCACATACATGGTGTCTCTGTTTTTGGAAAGAGACTATCCAGGAAAAGTGATAATGTGGTCGTTTTTCCATTTGCTTTCTACATCGCAGTATAACAGCCGTTCAAACCACTCTGGTCACGCCTGTTGCTATACGAATTTGAACTTGATTATTATCCCCTTCAAAATACCCCCTCCCCCTCGCGAGCAGATGCAACTCTTCCACCGCTTCTTTCACTTTTGGAAACACTGTCCGATGGATGTTTGTGGTATAGTCTTCAAGACTTCCGTCGCATTAATGATGATGCGTTCCGCTGACTAAAAGCTTCTTCATTGAAAGTTAATTTTGAGTGTAGGGAATACAGAAGTGTCGGCAAGGGATAGGATTGGTATGGATAGGTAGGAATGGAACGTTTGGCCAAGAATAGTCTATTTGACAACACTGAGTGACCAGGCGCAGTCCACAGTTCAGGTCGTTTTCTTTGTACCGCATCATGGAGAATTTTCTGATCCACCAAATAAAAATCTGAATTGTCTGATCATCAGGAGTGAATTAATAATGCACAGTGTTTCGATGAGATAATCGGAAAACAATCAGCATTGCTTTCACTCGCGACCGAACTTGTCGTGCTTTCTTGGAGCGAGGCAAAACACGATTCTTTCAGAGTGAAGATTGTTGCTTGTTTCAGCGTCATAAACGTAACCCACTACTCGTCATCGGTAATGACAATTTTGAAAAGATTTTCGTCGTGTCTTCCTCGCTGGAGGAGATTTTCGCAGATGGAAAAACATTGGAGCTTCTGATCACCAGTCAAGAGGCATTCCTAAATTTTCTGATATAATTGTATAGCATGAACCAATGGATATTCAATCTTCGTCTGCAAGTTTGCGAAGTCAGTCGACTATTTCCATGGACTGTATTTTCACCTGGGCACTCAGACCTTCGGATCTTGTGGTTGCAAGAACGGCTAGAACCCTCATCATCATCATCCATTGAAGTTCGTAGATTGTCATTTGACTCAAGACATTATCACCGTAAGTTTCCCGTAACGTCTTATGGGTTTCTGCAGCTGTCTTCCCTACTTTGAAACAGAGTTTAACATAAATTCTTTGCTCCTTTACCGACTCCATACTGAACACTGGAAGACAACACCGCGCTCGATCAGGACACTGGTTATAGGAGTTACACAAAACGTTCGACCTACTTGGAAGAAAATTGCTTGTGTAAATAACGGCCAGGTTGCAAGATCACTGAAACAGCACCTAACATGACCTATGCACTTCTGCTCCCTACCGTCAGTCTGGAAATTATTTGACACACTTGGTATTTCCGGAATGTATGCACAATTCTCGTACATGAAGTAAGTGACGTGTTCAACTTACCTGTTTATATGCGTATCCTACATATACCCATTCCAACCATCGTTGTTCCTGTGGGAAAATGGAAATGGTTGTTAAATTGATTCATAAAGCAGTCATGAGGAGCAATCAGTTCTGATACACTTATTCCAGCCTCTACATCTGATTTCCCTCTAACGGACAACACGAAGCCGGCATAGCGGACGAACAAACAGGCTCGCAGATAGATGAACGTAAATTGTTATTCTCCTTGACTCTGGAGAGGAATGGCAAACTTGTGGTTTGTCTAAGAGAGGGAGATCTTAAATGCATGGAATACTTTCTTACTTCCAGACATTATATGAACAATTTTAGCTTACTTTCCTCCATTTCAAAAGAAGTTCTGGGAAAGACGAATAGCTTACTTTCCTTCCACTGCATATTCATACTGACCGCGTAGGAATACGGGAAGCTTGTTGCTTGTGTATCCATTGCCCCGGGAATGTGTTTGCCAACCCGTTGCATAGAAACAGCTCCCTCTTCTAGCTCGTCTGTTCCGGCTTTCAAGGGTTAAGTTGTGAGAGAGGGGGAGCAAATTGATCTCACGAGCCTTCTCTTATTTTTTCCAAAATAAGTAATATAGGCTTAAAGTGGGAGGCTTATGAGATCACCTTTCTGTCTGTCTGTGTGACACCCTAATATGTCTAGGGAACTGCTCGGAATACCCTGTTCCGCGACAACGAATGCTCGCCGAACAACATCGGAACTGTTGAACTGGGATGATTTCTGTGCAGTCCTTGTCGTAAGAAATACTCAATACGTAGTAAAAGTTGAATAGGCTTTTCTGTAACTCAGAAGTAAATTATCTCACAATTTTCCCATGACTTTTCACGTTCATCAACTCTCCCATTATACGTTCTACTTTTCTGTTTCTCTAGAGTGAAGTGGGCTTTATGGTCTAGTGATCTGAGTTCCTGGCTACAGATTCAGAGATACCGGCTTCGATTTCCGTCGCTACTAGATTTTCTGAGAAGTGGTGGGTCTGGAACGGGGTACACTCAGCCTCGCGAGGATAATTGAGGAGATATTTCAAGGAAATAGCGGCTCCGGTCTAGAAAACCGAAATTAACGGCCGTGATGATTTCGTTGCCCTGACCCCGCGACACCCTATATCCGCTAGGTCGGTATAGTTCGCTTGCTGAATAAAACCACGGAGTTT